TTCTTCCTTCTAATTTAAGCCCCAGCTATTGAGATAGTTTCAAAATAAAATAGTTTATTTTTTTTAAGATTTTATTTATTTATTTATCAGAGAGAGAGAGAGAGAGAGCACAAGCAGGGTGAGAGGCAGGCAGAGGGAGAAGCAGGCTCCCAATGAGCAAGGAGCCGATGCAGGACTCAATCCCAGGACCCTGGGATCATGACTTGAGCCTAAGGCAGACACTTAGCCGACTGAACCTCCCAGGCATCCCAGAATAAAATAGTTTAAGTCCAGGTACCTAAATGACGAGATAATAATAGTTCTTCTGATGCTATAGAATGCAACCTCCTCTTGAATAAACTTGAAAGGAGACTTTGCTGAAACAGGTTTGTAAAACTAAGTTTTTTCAGCTTTTACAAGCAGCCACTTCCCAATCCTCTGGCAAGCATGCCACAGGCAGCCTCCCCTATATAAATATGCAGTTAGAAAGATAAACACTCATTAAAGTCCCTAGTGGTAGCATTGTTTCTCAGAGTTCAGCAATATTTGTTCAGTAAGTAGATAAAGAAAGAGATTAGCAATGTTTCCATTGGGCTTTACTCCTTCCTAAAACCAACCAGCCTTCTCCCTAGGAGAAAGACAGTAATCTGTGTGTGTGTTCCAGAATGTCTCAGGACAACTTTCTACTTCAAGAGCAAACCAAACTCCTCACTGGGTACATGCTAAGCCATTCATTTTTTTAGGGCCATTAATTTTAGTAACTTAACAGGTCAGACCTCCAAAATAATAGGAGTAAATCTGTAGAACAAATTTCCTATTTAAACATGTTAATATAGCTTAAATATTTACACATGAAACTAAAAATGATTTGGGTAGCTGCTCTAATCTCATTTCATAGACTTACAGACTTTCTAAGAGCTTGATCTATCAGTTAGTATAGAAAGAGCTCTGGTCTTAGTTCCAGCTGAATTAGGCCAAGGACTAACTGTATGATCTCTGAGAAAGCTGGGCTAGGCTTTCCTTATAAAATAAAGGAGAATGGAGTAGATGAGCTCTAATATCCTTCTGACTCTGAAAATTTATCATACGCTCTTGGGAAAAACAGATCTCATCTTCCTATCTCATAAGGTTTTGGTGAGATCAAATGACAGGATATACTCCAAAGCATCGTGTTGACCATGCAGTAGAATTCACAGGTGAGGGGTAGCTGTATTTGCTTTCTTAAGTCAGCATTTGGCAGAATAAATGAAAGAAAAACAATAGCAGAAAATGTTTGCCCCTCCACTTTAAAGAAGGAAGGAAATAATTTTAGATTCTAGAGTTATTTATGGCTCTTTCAGATAGAGATTGGGTGAAGTAATTAAATTTGTCATGTGTTAATATGCTGGTTCTAAGCAGCTAATATAAAATCTTTGTCAAACAAAGCAATACGGTTCTCTTATCTGATTAAAATTTTCAAAATGTTAACAAACTAATCTTTTCAGAAGAGAAATCTAATATTTAGGCATATGTTATTTTCTTTAAACTTTTTCATTTGTTGATTAATTTCAAGTACTTTTCCACCATCTGGGGATACAATGGTGAACAAAACAGGCAGAGTCCCTTCCACCAGGGAGCTTAACTTCTGACACTAGTGAGGGAAAATAAAAATACATGTAAATAAACTAATAACTATCCCAAATCAGTAGAGGGCTAAGTGCCATAGTAACATTTAAAACACAGTAAGAAAGATGGGGGAGCATCAAAGAGGGGAAATGCTGTTTTCTATGGACTGGCCAGGGAATACGTCAATGATACAGAATAACAGGAAACTGGGAAGGAACAAAGAGGAAGTCATGTAGAGACAGTCCAGGTAGAGGGAACAGTAGAGGCAAAAGCTCTATGCAATAGAGACCTTGGGGTATCTGGGAAACAGCAAGAAGGCCAGAGTGGTAGAGCAAGAATGAGAGGAATGATTCCCCATTATTTTTTCCAAGGAAAGAATGATCAAACTTATCTTTATCTTAACATCTACTTTAAGTCCAGCAGAAACTTTTTTTTAAGAAAGACTTTATGTATGTATGTATGTATGTATGTATGTATTTGAGAAAAAGAGAGAGTGCACGCACAAGCAGGGCAGGGGCGCCAGAGGGAGAGAATCTCAAGCGGACTTACCGCTGAACGCATAGCCTGACATGGGGCTCGGGGCGGGGCTCGATCCCAGGACCCCAAGATCATGACCTGAGCTGAAATCAAGTCGGACACTTAACCAACTGAGCCACCCAGGCAGCCCAAGTCCAGCAGAAACTCTTCATTGAACTTCTTTTGTTTTGTGCCTCAGTTTTTCATTTGTAAACTGGGGATAATAATAGTACCTCATAGGCTTGTGAGAACTAAATGACTTACTAAATATAAAGAATAATTAAGACAGTACCCACCACAGAGTAGACCATGGAGGGCTAGTTTTTATTACTATCATCATCACCTCTTTATTCACAACAACATCAATAATTCAATTTTTTAAGCCAATAGTATTATTTTGTGCCAACCATTAATTATTGGGAGAGTTTCCTTACACGTGTTCTTAGGACATTAGGTAAGGTCCTGGTATGTGATGACTCAAGCTCAGAGGTTCATGTCATCAAATGTCTTACAGAGCACTGACAATAACAAGGAAAAGAACTGGGGTTTGAGATTTATATGTTAATTTAGGCATAAAATGAATATGATATATGCATATACTCACTTGAGTTTTTCTTTATTTTTTTTCAGTCAATCTTAGTTTCCTCTCCTGATGGCAACACAGAATTCTTGGATGTTTGCAATCTCTTTCATATTCATTTCCAGCATGTGGTCTGAATTGATTCCTTGTTTCTCAATTACAACCATCATAGAATCAAGATTAATAACCTGCTTGGTGAGTTTTTTTCACTTTGGAATCTGGAGCCTTTGTACTCATTGTGGCCTGTCGGGCTCTCTGTGGTTCTTTCTAAATGCTCCTGCAGTGCAGGTTAAGGACAACAGCAAAGACAGGGAAGTTGCCTGCCTTTGGGCCTTCCCTACCTGCTTCTATGATTTCTTCTCTTCTCCCAGGGATGTAATCATTGTTGAGGAGAGTCTGGAAGTGGATTTAAAGTTCATTAATGTAACCCCTGTGCTTAGAACAATGCCTGGCATATTGGAGGTACTCAATAAGTATTTGTGGAATAATTAAACATATGATAGGTCTGGTGGACCATGTTGTACTCTACTAAACAGACTGTCACTGAAGCATGATGGAGAGGTAGAGCACCTGTCTACTGTACTATCCTGTGGGGCTGGACTTCCATCTCCACCTGCCGCATGGAGCATCTGCCTATTATCATCAGGCCCTTCAACTCAAGGCACAGGGTACCCGGGGCAGGTTTTACTTTTCATGGCCATTGCACTTGGTTTCACTAGTTCCAAGAGGTTGAGTAGAGCTTATGAAAAAAGAAAGAAAGAAAGAAAGAAAGAAAGAAAGAAAGAAAGAAAGAAAGAAAGAAAGAAAGAAAGAAAGAAAGAAATTGAAAGAAAGAAAGAAATTGAAAGAAAGAAAGAAATTGAAAGAAAGAAAGAAAGAAATTGAAAGAAAGAAAGAAAGAAATTGAAAGAAAGAAAGGAAGAAAGAAATTAGAAAGAAAGAAAGAGGCATCCTGGAAAGATTTTTATTCCTGGGCTCACTGGTCATTCCCTCAACATTCCTCCAGAAAATACTTAGTAGCAGCCCCTTCTGTATTGAACATAGGCCAAAGTAACATAATACTGTAGACCTGTATAGTGTAATTAGTATAAATAAATACAACCAAATAAAATACTTCATGAGAATCACAAGTGGCACAAAAATAGGATTCTATATACCATATAATGTCAAATGGAATGATTTTCAGTGAGGAGAACGGGAAAGCTTCAGAGAAGAGGTGGTATTCTCTTTATCATGGAAGGAATGAAGAACATTTCAATAGGCAGAGTGGTTATGTGTTATTAATAAATACTATAATTACAAAATAGCAGTATTATACCATCTGTCAGAAAGTTTCATTATTAATCCATATTAATCCAAATATGTCTCTGAATTTTTGTCTGTGATTCCTTGTGCTCCAAAACTGTGATTCTGAGCCATTTTAACCAAGAAACCCTTATAGGTAAGAACAAGTCAGTTTATAAGGTCATGTGCTGGGACACTATTATAGGATTTGGTGGAGGTATTGCCCTTTCTTCCTTCTTTTCTTTACTACACACATGAGAGATCTGTCCCAGATGACAGATTTCTGATGTTCACTCTTTCTCAGTTAATAATTGTATTTATTTTATTGCAAAAAATGAATTACCATCTTTCTCTGAGAATGCTTTCAAGTATCCTATTTCTCCCGACTAATGACGAAAAGTGGAGACTGTGACAGGTGTTTAATATATTTGAGAAAGATTTAAAGGAAGGATGAGATTGAGGGATTTTTTTTTTTTTCAAATTCCCTTCCTATAATTTTGCTCATTTATTCAGAAACTATTCATGAAGTGCCTGCTTTGTCTCAGCCTAGACGACAGAAAGAGTATTCCTGGTAGAGTTGTTAAGTGTTATTAATTTATACTCTAACTATTCAATAGAAATGCTGTACTTTTTTCATATATGATGTGTGATCCAACATCTAGATAAAGGCTTTATTTTTGGTTGTTCGTTTCCCCAACAGCGTTGATGAGTCCCATTACTCAAGGAGCATTTAATGGTAAGAAGCAAGAAGCATAGTCGGGGGACATGCATTCAACTAGTATTTACTGAGCCAGGTACTATATATAAAATTTAATGTTATGAGTAGTTTAGTTTTCTGAAAATGACAATCAGTCGAAGATAGAAGAAAGAGGGTCAGTTTTAAAGTTGAGCACAACATGTATTTTTGTTCTGAAAGGGACAAGGAAGGTGTGGGAAGAAGGCAGACAAAGCAAGTTGAAGATCAGTTTGCCCATAGGGAGAAATTCAGTGCCCACCAAAGAAATGTCCATTTAAACAAGAACAGAGGATCTGCTACCTGCTGGACGATACAAAAGGTGACTTGTGCCTAAGGTTCGCTCC